ATTAAGGCCCCTACATTACCCTGAAGATTCAAGGCGACGAATTCTAGTGCACGGTGTTTACACTTTGGCCTCTTCACGGACAGATGCAGCGGGCTTCTAACCATGGAGCGGGTTAGGGCTACACGTAGGGTCCATAAGCCATGCCCTAAACCCTAAACCCGTTAAGGGTTTAGGGTTTAGGGTGCACCGCAATCTAGCAACAGAGTGAAGAAATCCGAAGGTCCGAATCGCCACGAGAAAACAAGCCCCAAAATAAGTTATCCACTATAACCCCTGAGTTCTGCGAAATGTGTCCTAGCAACCCGTATTCGCCATAAACCCGCATCTGTGCGCCTTACGGCCCGGCGTGAGGAAGAGTTGCAGCAGCCCCGGCCCAATCCGCCGCAGCGACGCGACCCGGCGCATGCCCAAGCAAGCAAACCCCAAGCCAAGGCTGAAGGCGATCCTCAGTGTCTGTAAGGCTTCCCGGAAGGGCCCTTATAACTGCAACAACCATTGCAGGAGCTTAATTACATTAAACATGCCTGCATTGTATGAGATGAAAATAAACACAAGTTCCAAGAGCATTACAGGTTTCCCCGACGGCCTGACAAATGTGATCCCCGTATGCTCCCCAGACCAGTAGCTTCGATGCTTCAGAGGTGAAGAAACCACAGTTCAAGACAGGGACCTAAACAATCAACGAGAGATTTTGCGGTATGCTCTCGCAAACTCTAATCGGGACTACATGGTGGTGTGCTTCCTAAGTACTCAGACCTCTAGCCTAAACCACAAGCCCTCTAGCCGAACGCCAAAACAGACTGAGCGTCATTTCCAAAGCGCACCAAACTGCTCGTCCTTCCCAAGTCTGCTGCACCCTTGGTTCGCTAGTAGCACCTATACAACGGGGTAATACAGGGGCCTTATAAGGGTTTTGTATGCCAGTTTCACAGCATCATCATACTAAGGAACCACAAGGGATGGTACAAGAATTGGAAAAGAATCAGGCTTCTATATTAATTTTTGCTGAATCTAACCATCAGTTCTCATTAAGAAACTGAATATACAAAAAACCCTAAACCCTGAACGCTAAACACCCTATACTGGCAATATAAGACCATAAGCCCCAGACTGATACTACTGCAGGATGTGGCAACCCATCTGCAGCACGACGCTGCACGATGATGACGGCTGGGCCTGGGTTTAGGGTTTA